AGCGGGGGGGGGCCCGAAGACGTGTCGGTCCTTGTAGCTCGGGCTCCTAAACTGCCTGAACTCTGGGACTCTTTGCGTGTTGCGGAGCGGGACCCCCGCGCTGAGGGGGGTCACAGGGTGCTGCCGTTAAGGATCTGTAGTCCGGTGGCTTGGCTGTGGTCACGGCTGTCTCAGTAACCCGGATGCGGAGCCGAACCTTTGGTAGCGCTGATTTCCTGTATGTACCTGAGAAGAAGACTTAGGAGAATGCACTAGGGGTGGCTGTTGTGTCAGAAATGTGTTGTCTAGTACTGGCAAAAACTTTTAAAACTATTCCTTCTGTGCCCAAATTCTGGCTATGCAAAAATGAAGTTCCTCCTTTAATTCACATCTTCCAAGGATTTGGTGCTGGGTGTGGGGTTTTTTTGAAGCTTAAGGAGCCCTTCAGGGTTTGGGAGATATTTGGAAATCTCTGTTAAAGTGTGTGAGCTGACAGGAGCGCTCTCAGGCCATTTGCTTTGAAATTATTTTCAAAAAAAGTCTCTTACCGGACAGACCTACCTTCCTCCCAGCTTCTGCTGATACTGCCTTCTAAGTGAAGGGTGTAAGCACAACCTTACGGCTTTACATAACTTGTTAATTGTCATTATAATCAAGATATAAATGGCTGTGTGGCTGTGAGAAGTCTTTCAGATTGCTAGGTACCAATTAGTGTGTTAGAGAAACAGAGGTAAGAAAGTTACTGAAAAACTTCAGCGATGCATTTTTGGCTTCAAGGCATGTTTTGTCTTAAGTTCTTGTGAAGCTTACAGATGTTAATTCTCTAATTCCAGCCCATACAAATGGAGAACCCCTATAAAGAGCCTCCTAAAAAATGTGTCTTATGTGGAATAAATGTGGACTACAAGAATGTGCAGGTGAGTTTGAAAATTCCTGTCTTTAGATGAAGGTAACCAGTTTACTGTTTTTACACACATGTGTAGGAAGCCCACAAGGATAAAAAATGAAAAATTAATTTGTATGTTAGGGGTTTAACACTTGAAGAGTAAGAATGTGTGCAGATAAGGGTCAAATACTGCAGTTGTGATAAGCTGTTCAGTCTGCTAGTTGTACGTGCAGATGTTACAACTTTGTTCTTTACCAACTAGAGTCCTCAATTCTAACTGCACTGTTACAGAGTTTAAATGTTACGGTGTGTAAAATGCTGTCTGACTCCAAGCTATACTTTTTCTTGTCTCCAGGTAGAAAACTGAGTTATGTAAAAACAGATCAAAAAATGGAAAATGCAATGCAAGTAGCAAGATAAACTAAAGCTCTCTAAAAAAAAGTTCTTAAACTGACTTTGGATCTCTTAATTTTAAATAGCTTCTTTCCCAGTTTGTTTCTCCGCATACTGGCTGCATTTATGGCAGGCATATAACAGGTATGTGAGCCATTATATTAAATAATTTACTAGTTAATATTAATGTGACTCCAAGTAACTGTATATTAGCTATCTTTCCAGAAGTAACTACTGCCAACCTTATGCACTTTGTAATGGTATTCCTCTGACTTGGTAGCCTTCATCAAGGACTGAAAATATTCCTTAATTGCATGGGGCTTTTTGTATTTAACAGTATAAGCACACATACATTTTTCTAGGAAGACTTAGACAAAGCTAGGGGAAGTGTCAGTAACACCACCACTTTCACCCTTTAAACTAATGGTTTGGTTATTCTTGACTTAAGAGACTGAAAATGATTTCTTTTTAGGCTTGTGCAACAAGAAGCAGAAGGAAATTACAAAAGCCATTAAAAGAGCTCATGTATTTGGTAAGTATGACTGTGCTTTTGAGTTTTGCAAGTCAAGCCTACTTTCCTATTAAAAACCCCTCCATCTTATCTTTTTACAGGATTTATGCCAGTTATGTTTAAGAACCCATCATTTCTCACAGACCCCAAGATATGTAATGTCAAGTATCCAGAATAATGTACTATAAAGGAATAAACAATAAAACTAATTTTGATGTTTATACACTTGTTTACTGGAAATGTTGTTGACTAGCATTACGCATCGCTGACTGAAGGGTGGATGTCAGTTGCTTTTTAGGAAGTGTCACATCTCTAAAATTGGCTGAAGGAAGTATAAAAGATGAAAGCAGTCGGGGAAATGGACAACTCTATGGACCACTTCCTCTGCTCACAGGTTTTGGTAAAGTTCAGGTGGCTCCTTTTTCCCTTGCTGGATTGGAAAGGAGGGAAAAATTAACAAGTAGTGGATAGCTAAGGATAAAGTATTTAAATTGTGGCAATTTCTGTAGACAGCTAATTCTGTTAAGCACGCTACCTGTGTTCATTTGATGCTCCCTGCCTCAGCTTCTGCTGAGGGAAGGGGGTAGTACTGGTTCTTCGAGAGCAGCCTGAGGTTCTATTACTCTGAAGCAGTACGTGACATAGTTATATGACTGCTAACATACTGCTAGCATAGTCTTTAAACCCTGAGAGAGCAAATACAGATTTAACTCTGCAAGGCAGAATGAAGGAATGTCATCTGGACTTACCTCTGTGCCAAACACGATTCATGCATTGGGAAAAAACCCACCAAACCCGTAGGTCTTGTAAAAATGCACTGTTATTTTATCGCTGCAGTGCTATAAATTGATATGTCACTTGAATGTGCTGGCAGTACCTTTTGGTGCCAAGTCATCTCGACAAATCATTAACAGATCAGAAAGTAGGAGAGTGTGGGTATTCACTTGTGTCTCTAATTTTTTCAAACACATCCTCATCTGTTTCAGTGCTACTCAGTGTAAGCTTCCTTTCCTGGTCACTGTCCTCTTGGTCTCGAAGTAATTTTTGGTGAAGCTGCAGTGATCTGGATTTCTTGAATGACTTTGATCCTGCTGTGGTCCCTCTGACTTTACGCTTGGTTAAGTGTCTTGTTTCAGCTTCAGTGAAGTCTCTTTCCTCTACCATGAGAGTCAGTTTGTCCATGACATTAATGTTATGGTCAATGTTACAGCAGTTCTTGGATATCTGTTGGCCCTTGAAGGAAACAATACATGTCTGAAGTCCAGAATTGGGGAAAAATGTTTGCAGTGCCTGACACAGGAGGACATTCTCCTTTGGCTCTCCTGGGAAATCTCTGTCTTCTGAAAAAAAAAGAAAAGCTAGAGTTACAGTCCCTCTTGCACACTTCTACCACTGCTGTTTTGGCTGTGTCAAGTTCAGAAGTGTTTTGTGCTTCTGCCATTTGAATCAACTTTGGAAGCCTTACTAAGAGTGGGATTGCGGTTTATTTAACTTACCTGAACAACGTTGTTGCTTTTTCCTCTTTATTTCTTCTTTTAATTGCCTCACCTCTGCTAAGAGTTTCTCTACAGATCGTTCACTGGCTTCTACTGTAGAGCATATTTTCTGCAAGGAAAAGAGCATTTGTCAGAATTAACCGTATTCACAGAAGCTGACTTGAACACTGTTGCAAAAATCCTTAAAGGTACTCATGATTTTGAAAGTTGGACAAAGTATTAAAAAGCTCAAGTAATGAGCTTGAGGTGGACTTTAGAGCTAAGTTATCTCTAAACCTTGTGTTGAATGAGGTGCAAGATGTTTTACTTGTAAAAGAGCTCTGACGAGCCATAGATGGTGCTCCTTCAAAATAGCCCTCTTGTGAGAATTTATCAGTGTACTTCTGATCAAATGGAAACTTAAAGTCTTCAACTTTGAGAGCTTAGTGTGCAGCTACTAACAGTAAATGGAACTCCCTGATCTTTCAATATGTGCATCCAAGACACAGCTTTGTTCCTCATTCAGTGCAAGGCAGTGTACCCTTTGCTTGACTTGGTTTTGTGGTACTGCTGGAAGTAACCTTACCGGCAGGGATGCCTGACTTACCTTCAGTTCCTCCTGCAAGGTGGCATACATCTCATTTATCTTATGAACCTCTTGTAAGGATCCATCGGTGTAAAAGAATTCTGACCTGTGGACCAAGAATATAATCGTATAATTGTGAATTAATGATCACAGCACTTAGTAGGAGGTATAATAAATAAAGGAGCATTTTGAGCTTCAACACTAGGTGCCTATGTTGAGACAGACAGCTCCTCTCATGGCACAGTATAGGACTTGACTGATTTTTCAAGTACCTTGGAAAGGTGAATAATTGCAGGAAACACCTCAACAAGCGAGTAGGGTATGGCTGTAGCATTTGCAAAAGCACTTAAAATACTTTAATAGAAAGATAACTATACTTCTCTTAACTGAAAGCTACAGTTATCAATCAGTAAATATGGCATATATTGTACCTGTGTTGTCTTACTGCTCTCACAAAACCAGAAGATACGCAGGAACCAGACACTGTTCTGTAACCTTGCTGTTCTGCCATACCCAAGTTGGTAACCACCAAAGGAACCTTCTGGAAAAGACTTAAAAAGAAGTATGAGAACATGATTTATCAACATCCAAAGGCTTCTCTTTGATAGTTAAAGGTTCTTGACTATTAAGCATCCCAGATGGAGGTTTACAATACAGTTAGTTCTTGCTAGATGTACAATGTCACACATAGATGACAACTTATGGCAAAAGGTGAACTGCAAGAGCAACAAGACTGAGCAATGTCTCTAGTTTTTTCCCCTCTTTCTGGGTACGAGTCACACAATAAAATTGCTTGTTAAGCCTAGCCTACAGGCAGCATGACTCTAAAAATTACCACCAACTTAAGCATTTCAATGATACGGAAAGATGAACACCATGCATAGCTGAAGTCCTATACACAAAACCAAATTATGTGCATAAATGACCTGACAGTGCCTGCCTGTTGACACTGGCACTACAGATCGTTATAAAGGCAAATCCCTGAAGAGAACTCCAGGGTAAGATTTCAACTGGGCTTTAGCAATATAAGGAATACCCTTACTTAATGTGTAAGTTTCATGGGTAAAACAGTGTTAATTCCTGTGCAACAAAGTAAACCCAAACTGTTCAAAGTTCTAGTGCATGCTGTGCTACTGCTGTATTAAAACTAGAGAACAAACCAATTACCCTTCTTGTGGCCGATGTAAAGCGTGTTCCAGTCTGTAAGTAGAACAACTTTCTGTCATCACGGTAGAGGTTAATAAAAGGAATACAAGGCCCTGATTTGATAGGTGTGACTGTAAATTCTTATGAAGAAGTCTTTCCCGGAATGTCATGGTCTGGTCCGTGTTACGTCTGAATTTGTACCATCCTATTACACTCTGCAGGCAGAAGAAAATTCATGATTACTGTTAAATCGCTGTCCCTGTGTCATACTGAAGCAAGTTAGAGGATTCAGTACGAAGTTATGAATCTGAATTTTTTGGTGATGTGTACGTATTCAAGCAGTTAGTTAACTTGAAACCCTTAAAACATCTAAGCCTAATTCGAGTATCACAACTTCTCTCTTTCCTTCAAAACCATGTGTTGAACCAGCCTGTTTTTCTGAGCTTGTGCTCAAGCTGAAACTCAGCAAACTTTGATCTCCTATTTTGCTCTTTGTCTCCTTCCAGCTTCTACTTTCTTCTGTAGAGAAGATTGTAGATTTTTTTGGTCAAGTGATGCTTAGCCTCTTGGGTGAGCTGACCTCAGCTGATCATAAGCCAGAAATCATAGAATTCCTTTGGGATATTTGAACTGTTTTCTTGAGAAATGAATAAGAAAAAATAAAGTTGTGACATATATGTAGGCAAACCCTACTAAAAATAACCTCATCTTTCAAGGGGAAAAGGTGATGCAGCTGCCTTGACCAGCAGCGTGAGGGACTAGAGACAAGATTTTTAAAAAAAAGGAGAGAGGTGAAAAAAAAAAGCTTGATACAAGAATGGTCCCCCAAATCTGAGTAAGCTCCTTGGTATGATTTAGGTTTGAAAATAAGATACCTTCTTACAGCCTGATAGAATTTTCTTCAGGGCAAGTTCATTCAGTTCTCCTGCAGAATTATAAAAGCTAGAAGAAAATTAGAACAATTAGAGATAAAAAATGCTACTGTAGAAATAATTATTCTCAAGCAGTCTGGCAGTCATTTCACTTTAATAGCTTTTTTTCCCATGGTAAATATAAAAATATGCTGACACAGCTTCTCTGCTAGGGCAGCGCAGTTAACTTCATTACTGAAATAGCTATGTAGGCAGTCTTGTACAGCCCAGATGCTGTTCTGGCATCAGTGCTACTGGGACACAAGTGAAAGGTAGCATCTATATTATCTAAACTACAAAATAGTGAGATGCCTTCAATTTGATATGAAGTGTCTTTCTAATAACATCTGGATCTGTTACTTTTCAGAAAAATTTGTGAAGGAAATTATGTGATTCTTCCCTTACAGGTGTGCAAACCTGCATAGCTATGTTCCCATCTGTAATGGAACTCTAAATACTAGTCCTTGAAACTACTCCTGCCATGGGGCTAACAAGTGTTTCTTTTTTGACCTGCTTAGAAGCCTATAGCTGATGCTACCTTTTAATTTCTTTTTTTTTTCTTTTTGAGGGTGAGGGAAAGGAGTGTATGCTTTTAGAAAAGCAATGTTGTTTTTTCTAGTATGTTGACATTATTCTGTAGTTTATGTGGTATCATAGCTCACCAGAAGGTTCAGTATGCTGTACAAACACCAAAAAAGTACATGAAGAACTAAAATAGGAGTAACATAAGGCATTTTGCATCTGTAATTCCAAGGGGTTGATATGGCCACTGTAGTTATAGCTGGATGATTTTCTCAGTAATGTAATACATGTTTAACTCTTGAAGAATTTAAGTTAGGGTTAATTTTAACTTTTGTATATCTGTTTACTTAAGATTCTTACCTGAACAACTGGTAGCATGGAATATGCTTCTGTATATCTGGAAAGAGAAGGTAATATTACTCTGGGTTCATCAGTTCAAGA